GGGGGGGCGTCTTGGACAATTTTGATTGTGCATAATTTTACGTACATACATCATATGCTCTACGATGTTAATAATATATTATTGATACAAATATACATTGAACCAACTCTAATGGCTACTGTAAAAGACAATCACCTGTACAAATGACCACTCCCCACTTCCGCTCCCGCATGCATTTTTTAAAAAATATTAAAACGTACAACTCCAAAAACTGGCAAAGGTCATGCCTCTAAGTGTCTCGGCCCAACAGCATCTAGAAGTCATTAAATCACCATCAGAACCACTCCGTGCAAGGTTATGTGGGGGTTACATAAATATTCTATACAAGTAGAAAAGAACAAGTTTTCCCCTCTCAGTTCACCAATACCCGATTTAAATGAAATATTTGCTCGTGTTACTGTGAGTGCAAAATGTTCTGAATTTCAACAAATTTAATAAGCGTGTACTGCACTTAAGACTGATCTAATTTCTGAACCAATTTCAAAGATTTATGGCACATGTGCCGAAGACATATTTTTGTTTCATGTGTATACATTTCATCATTGTCAAAAGAACAGTTGTTGCGATTTAAAGTTACATACTAATCTGGTTCTCATCTAGTATTTTGTTATTTGAGCGTGTAACTGTGTGTGTTGGGACCTCAGAACAGAATAGGGATTTTTTTCTTCATTTTCATCTCACCTGTCAAAGACAACCACTTTTCTCAATGGGTGGTAAACATATAATACATATATGTATAAATAGAGAAAAAAGAGAGGTAAACGGAAAGGCAGAGAGAGAGAGAAAGAAAGGGAAAGAATAAGAGGGAGAGAGAGATAAACACAGAGAGAAGTAGGGAGAGGTACAAAGGGAGTTGGAGAGCGTGAGGTGAGAGAAAAAGAGGTAGAGAGATAGAAGGAGACAGAGGGAGCGTTTGTAGAGGGAGACAATAAATGTTAAAAAGCATGACTCACTTTCTTAGCGTTGGCCCGCACCCAGTTCAAGGCGAGTGATGCGGACTCTTTCATTACATCCCCCAGCTGTCCAGTGAGAGTTATCTTCCCCTCCCCTGGCATCCGCGTGGCCTCCACAAACATGATCTCTCCTCCCATGGCAGTCCAGGCCAGGCCTACTGCCACGCCCGGCTGAGACAATCGTTGAGACATTTCTTGCTGGAACATCACAGGCTGGGTAAAAGAGAGTACAGAAAATATAGATCATTGTTGGGATATAAACGGCAGGGGGGGGGGGGGGGGGGGGGAAGAGAGGGAGTTAGGGAAGAGAGACAGAGAGAAAGGAAGGGTAGAGAAAGACACAGAGAGCGAGAGACGGAGACACAGAGAGGAGGTGACAGGACATAATCTGGTGGTAACATCCTAAACTATCTGAGAGAAGATTACAATTATTGGTTACGTGCACAGGTCTGGTTTACAAACAATTGAATGAGCTTTTTACGGTTATGTAGACATGTTAAAAGATACATGTTAGGATTTACTCTCTTCAAAGGTCATTTGCAGCCATGCTTACTGAGAAGTGTTTAGTCTCATCACATGCTGCTGTATGCAGATGTCCATAAGAAAACAGTTCCTACTAAAACTATGTATCTGAAGATGTCCGTTGACATTCACTTCCTAAACTGAATGGCTACCCAGGATGTGTAAAAGTTTGTTGACCCACCCCCAGAATATCCTCCAAGGCTGCCTCATCTATGACAATCGGCATCTCTGGTGGGTGCACCAGCGCAGATTCCTCCTTGTTTTCCTCTTCTTTCTCCTTTGCCTTCTGTCCATCCTTGAGGCCCACAGTCTTCTGCTGGTCTTTACTGTTCCGCGACTCCAGAACTTTGACAGCAACAGCTCGGCACACACCAGCTAACCGGCGCTCCATGGTACGAACCCCCGCCTCTCGGGTGTAACTGGAAACTGATGGGATAGAAAAGCAAATAGGAAAACGGTATTACAAGTTACCACATAGCACTGACCACAGCCAAGACTCTGTGCCAAAATGTTCCGAAACTCTCAGCTCAAGTCCAGGACAATTATCTTTCCATGCCCGTCACCACACACTGTATCACTAGTCTATTTATTACGTATAAGTGGTAAAATAATTGTGCATGGAAAGAGTTTAAGCCTCACACTACAATAACCCCGGAGATAAGAAGATAAGAACTGATCTATGCCAATTTTTCATATAGCTCAACACATACAGACTAGGCAATGAACTAGAGGCTTTTTTTTTCAGACACAAATACTTCTTGTAAAAGTATAGGACTGTCTGTTTGAAGTTTGTACAGTGTGGTACTGGATACTTTATAACAATTAATATTCAACTAAGTGGAATCTTCTGAAAACATCAAGTGAAATGAGATATTTACTGATCATTTTGACAGTGTCATCAGGTATCTGTAGCTGCTCATGAGACAGTCCATGTTCCTTCAACTGTTTGGGGATGAGATGTCGCCGAGCGATGTGCATCTTCTCCTCCATCGTGTAGCCTGGGATCTGACAATGGTAGAGGAACCTCGCGGTGAGAGAGAGAGAGAGAGAGAGAGAGGGAGGGAGGGAGGGAGGGAGAGAGAGAGAGAGAAAGAGAGAGAGAGAGAGAGAGAGAGAGAGAGAGACAGACCGACAGACAGACAGACAGACAGACAAAGATGGAGAGATAGAAATGGAGGGACAGACAGACAGACAGACAGACAGACAGACAGACAGACAGACAGACAGACAGACTGACAGACAGAGATAGAGAAAGTTGGTGATACCTTCTGAGTTGGTAATAAAGAGACAAAGAGAGAGATACCTCCTTGGATAGGTAGAGACAGGGGGCAGGAGGGATACCTTTACGCTGACAGAAATAGACAAAAACGTGTCCTTGAACACAAACATGTGTGTAGGCGTGCGACAAGAAGCAGTATAAAAACTTTAGCAATTTGTTTCCCCTACTGAACCAAACACATAATTTTCATGGTCCTAAAAAGTGTCTGGTAAAAGCCTCTTTAGAAAACATATATGAACTCTGAAATGCCATGCCTAATCAAGCCACAGCTTGATTGTGAGTGTGAGTGTGAGTGTGAGTGTGAGTGTGAGTGTGAGTGAGGGTGATCCTGAGTGTGAGTGTGAGAGTGAGTGAGGGTGATCCTGAGTGTAAATATGTGAGGCAGTCTGGGAAAATCAGGCGCTCGTCAAAATAATCAAAGTGAACAAACTGGCATTTTTCAGCAGGTTTGAGAATTTTTATCGAATTTTTCTTTTTGGTTCAGCACCTTTCATGCCCAATAAAGAACACATTTCAGTGCGGATTTTACTGAAAAACGCTGATTAATTGCACAAAAAATGTAAATTTTCAGTTTCCACGGACACTCAAGCTAAGGAAATAACTCATCTTTGGCAGCCATTTTTTCACTAATTTTATCTCTGAAACCAGGTGACCCCCACCTCCTTCATTCGCAAATATCTCGACTTCTATTCAAGATAAATGGGTTTTTTTAAATCCAAAGCAAGACAAATGGACAGGCTGTAAGATGATACCAATAGCTCAACATGCCCAAAAACTGACGAGAGCCTGATTCCATCGCGTCGTGGCAAATATGTGAGCGAGCACAGCTAAGTTCACCTGAATGACTTCCATGCGGTCAAGCAAAGCCGGGGGGATGGCCGCCATGTTGTTGGCAGTGGCAATAAACAAGACCTGGGACAGGTCAAAGGGCACATTGATGTAGCTGTCAGCTGGTCAAGGATCTTAACAGAAGAGAGAGTGGACACACAAAAACTCCATACAAATGTCCTTAACCAGAGAATGAAGGATATGACATGGCTTTACCAATAACTTCATTGTGTTGATTTTGTTCTGGACAATATTACTTGGTAGCCATGTAAGTTACACATCAAGCCAAGGGAACAGGTAAACTGTAAAAACTGCTGGTCCTGCTGATCATATCACAGTAGCTTGCATTGGTATGGCATTACGGATAAGACAAACAAAAGCTTGAATCATTATGGCATCACTGATCAGACTGACAAATTACAGTGGAACCTACACTTATGGCCACTTGCATAAAAGACAATCCCCTGTACAAACAGCCACTTCCCATTTCCTCCTTCGCATATTTTTTACATTATGACACTGTAATATGGCCACTTGCCTCAAACAGCTACTTTTCTCCAAAACAACTGGTAGCAATCTTAGACAGTTTCGAAAGTATTTGCATCATTCTCGCATCATTGGTCAGACAGACAATCTATTAGAATCATTTTAGCATCACTGATAAGACAGACAATCTATTTGCATCAGTCTAGCATCACTAACCAGACAGATAAACAGCTTAAATCATTCTAGCATCACTGACAGACAGATAACTGCTTACATTTGTCTAGCATCACTGGCAGACAGATAAACTGCTTACATCAGTCTAATATAAAAGAAAGTAACAGATCAAAGGATACTGGTCCACAAAGTTGTGATTCTGCTCCGGGTCCAACACCTCAAGCAATGCAGCTGCTGGGTCTCCGTGCAGGCTTTTGGTCTAAACAGACAGGAAAGAAGAGATGTGAAAAGCTCAAATTAAATTCAGTTGTGAAATGTTTGCAAGTTCTAATAAGAGTTTTATGGCACTTGCAACAAAATAATGTCATTTAAGAGCTGAAGATTAGCCACATGTCAAAAGTTTGCAAGTTCAGTAATGGAGGATTGATATTCAGTCCTGCCTTGAAGTGTTCGAATGAAGTCCAGATGTGAAATGTGTATTTTTAAAATCCCATATTCAGGAAAAGATTTTGTATGTTTTACCTCAAAAATCTTTTTATCAATTTAAGGTAAAATGTGATTTACATCAGCATGTTTCTACTATACTGTTGATCATCGTCATAAATTCTTACCAGTTTATCGATCTCATCAAGAAGGAACACCGGGTTGTTAGTGTTTGCAGTGCGTAAACCTTGTACAATACGGCCCGGCATGGAGCCGATGTATGTTCGACGATGGCCCCGAATGTCTGATTGGTCGCACACTCCCCCAAGGGCAATTCTGTGGCCATGGGAAAAGCAAAATGAGAAATGATATATGAAACAATGATAGAACACCATAAAACAGACACACAGTCAATCTGTAGCCCACCATTAAGTGCAGTGTAGTGGTAAGGCACTTTGCTGCTGCACCAGGAGATTTGAGTTCAATTCACAAGTCGGGAGAATTTCTATCAAGTATCTTCGTCTTTCTGCTGGGATATAACTATCCCTCTCAGCCAAGATTGGCCCTGACAGACGGAGTCAGAAACCAGCCTCCTTATTGATTTAAATTGTGTTGATGGGGGGCATCAAAACACATCCATTTTAAAACAAAAAAGAGTAAAAAATAAAGAGCATAAGTTAACATTGAGGAGTTTTAAGTGAGCGGGGCTGGTCTATCCAACAAGAAAGGGATGTACTAGTACTGCACTCATTTCTCAAACATTTCTTGTAGGTATCATCCATCTAACCACCTAATAGTATCACCTTCCCTTGGGAAACACCCCCCTCAATGGACTTCCCAATGGTAAGACCTTCCTAAAGGTAACTCTCCTAATGGTAACATTTTCCAAAAAAGGCAATACCTTCCAAAAAGATAAATCATATCATTATCATCCTCCAGAAGGGAGCAACATCCACATGGTAACAACCTCCCATTAGCATCAATGTAACTACAAGGGGATAGAGCAGAGGAAAGGCTCAAGGAAGAAACCCGAGTCAAAACTTGCTAGACCAATGTAGACATCACGATAACAGGGAAACTCTAAAGACATAATAACTACCATCGTCCTCATTCTCCTGACCCACTTTAAAATGTTGTATGAGACCGTCCAAAATGACCAAAGAAATACTACAAAAAGAATGTCGTAAATGACCAGACAAACACCAGACGAGACTATCATAACTGACCGGTGGAACTCTCTTCCCAGCGTGTTGGCTAGAGAACGACCCAGACTCGTCTTCCCCACACCCGGTGGGCCCACAAAGCACAGAATTGGACCCTTGAGGGAGTTCTTGAGCTGTCGGACAGCCAAATACTCCAACACACGTTTCTTGAGCTTGTCCAGGCCATAGTGGTCGGCATCCAGGTCCTGCCTGCAGAAGGCCAAAGCCATGACACTCAGGGGAATCTTCAACATGAGAGATAGCTCAAACAACATACTTACATACAACAAACACACATACATGCACACACACACACATACACACACACATACACACACACATACAATGAACACACACACAATACATATACAATGCACACACATACACATAGAAATCTAAATACAATGCACACACACTCACACACACACACACACACACATATACACACACACACAATACACATACAATGCACACACACACACAATACATATACAATGCACACACACACACATAGAAATCCACATACAATGCGCACACACACACACACACACACACACACACACACACACACACACACACACACACACACACACACACACACACACACACAATATATATACATACAATGCTCTGTCACACACACACACACACATACACACTCATATACATACACACATATACATATACACACACACACACACACACACACACACACACACACACACACACACACACACACACACACACACACACACACACACACACACACACACACACACACACAGGGAAGTCCTACCCGCAGAGGGTCATAACACACACTGGACTTCTTCAATTTGGGTGATAATATAAATAATATACATACTGTGCATCAACGCATGTACAAAAACACTTAGAAACTCAGAGATACTAACTGCGCACTAACATAGCACACAGGAAACTTCTTCTTTTAGTTTTAGTAGAGTTTTTAAGGCACTCACAACTGCATAAGGTCATATGGCAGCGCCAAGGGGTGGATGTCAACAGAGAAGTCTTTACAGGGAATCAGGCTTACTCTGCTCACCTCTCTAGCTTCAACAGCACAAAGTCTGCTTTGACTATCAAGGCACCCCGGAAATAGAGGGTCACAAGAGAGTGACAAACATACATAAGAAGTAGAGGGCAGTGATACTGACTGAAGAGTCTTTAGGCCATTCCCAAAGGGGGGATATAAACGTGTTCTTATGCACAGTAAAAGTGTAAATGGGATGATTAATCACTGCCATGCTGATACTGTGCCGGAACAACAGAGGGGGAACTGCTGCTTTTTCTTCCCTCATCCTTACTATCGTCATTTTCCTCTACTTTTTTTGTATGTTATTGTTTGTCACTCATTGTGAACAGCTACTTCCGGGGCGCCTTGATAGCCGAAGCAGACTTTGTGCTGTTGAAGCTAGAGAGGTGAGCAGAGTAGTAAGCCTAATTCCCCGTTTGGACATCTCTGTTGACATCCACCCCTTGGCGCTCATATAACCTTATGCAGTTGCGAGGGCCGTAAAACCTTACTAAAACTAAACTAGAATACATTACCATGAGTGGGCATGACATTGACAGTAGCCAGAGCTCTCATAGTAAAGCTGAGGAGAGTAGTAACAAATAACAAAAGGCAACAAGATGCCCTCTGGCCACTAGCATTAACACACAGGGAACATGGAAGACAACAGAAAGACAAAGTTCATTTCTTCACTGCAATACAAATATAGATGGACTAGCAATAGACAGACAGATTTGCAGACAAATAGACAGACAAATAAACATGCAGTCACACTTATACTGCTGTGCCAAGGCAGAGCGACGTATCTGCACTTTTTTAAATTTTGAGTTACATCACGCTGCCATTGAAAATATGGGCATGGCCCTTTAGTTACTTCTGTTAGTCATAGTGAAATATCCTATTTGTAGTGCAGATACGTCTTTCTGCTGTAGAAACAAGATGCAGAATGGGTCTATGCGTCCATTTAAACGAAGATGCAGATACGTCAGTCTGCATTGGCACGGCAATAAAGGTAAATAATAAAAGATACAGTCAGACTGATAAACAGACAGACAGACAGACAGACAGACAGACAGACAGACAGACAGACAGACAGACAGACAGACAGACAGACAGACAGACTGACTTGGCCTGCACAATGTCCAGTGTGTCCTTGGTGCCTCGTGACCATGGCAGCTCTGTCATCAGCTCCAGGTAGTTCCTGTAAGAGAGTCACATAACACACTCAGACAATTGGCAACACTGACACTACACACTCAAACAATGATCAGCATGAGCACAAAGGTGACCATAACACACTCAAACACTGGTCAAGTGACAAAGCAAAGGGCGAACTATAAAAAAAATATGAGCCTTATTCCCACGCATTGTTACTTTTCCAACGAAATAGGTGAATGATAGATATATAAATATGGGATCCTCCTTATCTCTCCTTTTCCTTTTTTTATGTTTGTTACTCTCTTGTAACACCTCTAATCTTCAGGAGCTCATATGACCTTATGCTGTTGCGAGCGCAGTAAAACCTCTACTAAAACTAAAAAGACATATGGGCCTAGAATGCTTGCGCATTGTACATCCTCTGGGGGACTGAAATGGCAATTGAAAACAAGAGGCCAGAAAAGGGGTTATTGCAAAGACATGTGAGCCTTTTTTCAGGGGGGGGGGGGGGGGGGCACATCTACATAGAAACGTTTCAACTTTTCACTTACATTTACAGCACTACCTAGGTAAGACCTTCCTAAAGGTAACTCTCCTAATGGTAACATTTTCCAAAAAAGGCAATACCTTCCAAAAAGATAAATCATATCATTATCATCCTCCAGAAGGGAGCAACATCCACATGGCGTGTTCTATGACATCATTAACTCACCTGACCATGGCGTGTTCTAAGACATCATTAACTCACCTGATCATGGCGTGTTCTATGACATTAACTCACCAGATCATGGCGTGTTCTATAACATTAACTCACCAGATCATGGCGTGTTCTATGACATCATTAACTCACCTGATCATGGCGTGTTCTAAGACATCATTAACTCACCTGATCATGGCGTGTTCTATGACATTAACTCACCAGATCATGGCGTGTTCTATAACATTAACTCACCAGATCATGGCGCGTTCTATGACATCATTAACTCACCTGATCATGGCGTGTTCTAAGACATCATTAACTCACCTGATCATGGCGTGTTCTATGACATTAACTCACCAGATCATGGCGCGTTCTATGACATCATTAACTCACCTGATCATGGCGTGTTCTAAGACATCATTAACTCACCTGATCATGGCGTGTTCTATGACATTAACTCACCAGATCATGGCGTGTTCTATGACATTAACTCACCAGATCATGGCGTGTTCTATGACATTAACTCACCAGATCATGGCGCGTTCTATGACATCATTAACTCACCTGATCATGGCGTGTTCTAAGACATCATTAACTCACCTGATCATGGCGTGTTCTATGACATTAACTCACCAGATCATGGCGTGTTCTATGACATTAACTCACCAGATCATGGCGTGTTCTATGACATTAACTCACCAGATCATGGCGTGTTCTATGACATCATTAACTCACCTGATCATGGCGTGTTCTAAGACATCATTAACTCACCTGATCATGGCGTGTTCTAAGACATAATTAACTCACCTGATCATGGCGTGTTCGGGCATGTGTTGAGGCATTTTCTTGAGCCTCTTCAGCTCCTTCATAGAGGCTTTGTGTGCCTGCTCTGGCATTTTGGCCGCTCTGTTGGGAGACAAAAATGCTATTTGTAAAAAACCATAGTTGTTTTGGTTTTTTTTTGGGGGGGGAGGAGGGGTTAAATAAGTCTCAGGGTTTAACATATACACAACACAGTATCAGTTGTAATACCAAACTGAATATTTTGTACAAATTAAACCCATGTCTGCTGAACTGATGTTGTTGAGGTTGTTTTCAAATCTCTTTAGCAGCGAGCATTTCGCACTTGGCAGTGCAATGCCTCCCTCAAGTGACTACATGTCCTTGTCATCTGGTCAACGCCAGAGATGCTGAACTGATAAAAGAGAAGAGAGAAAATATCCATTGTGAAAGAAAATAGAAAGTACAGATGAAAGACAAAGAGAGAGAGAGAGAGAGAGAGAGAGAGAGAGAGAGAGAGAGATAGAGAGAGAGAGAGAGAGATAGAGAGAGAGAGAGAGAGAGAGAGAGAGAGAGAGAGAGAGAGAGAGAGAGAACAGGTGAGGCAAAGAAGGAAGCATGAGCAAGAGAAACATAGACAAGAGAAATAAGGAGGGGGGAAGACGGAAAATGCATACTTTATCTTTGCCTCTAAGTCAGCAGTCTCATCAATGTCCTCCTCCCTCTCATCCTCGTCGAGGTCAGCATCCAGTTTCCGAAAGACGCCACGCATGTTGAGAGGTCGGCTTACTTCCTTCCTAGTAACAATCTCCACCTTTCCCTCCTTACGGGCTTTCTTGAGCAGTTTCAGTCCCTGAACATGACGGGAAGGAAAGGTCAGTAATAAGGAGAGAGGGAGAGAGAGAGAGAGGGAGAGAGAGAGAGAGAGAGAGAGAGAGAGAGAGAGAGAGAGAGAGAGAGAGAAAAGGGAAGACAGGTGGCTAAAAGCACACACTGTACACACAAAAACAAGGGAGAGACAGAGAGAGACAGAGAGAGACAGAGAGAGACAGAGAGAGAGAGAAAGAGAGAGAGAAAGAGAGAGAGAGGCAGACAGACAGGCAAACAGACAGACAGAAAGACAGACAGACAGACAGACAGACAGACAGACAGAGAAAGAGTGAGAGAGAAAAAAGGAAAGACAAGCAGCCAAATGCACACATTGTATACACAAAAAGGAGAGAAAGAAAGACAGACGGGCAGGTAGACAGATAGAGTAGGGGAAGTTTTGTTACAAGTTTCTTAGCCGGATGTTCAGCTTCACTGAATATAATGTCAATTGCACAGAACAATGGTGTAGGGCATTATTGAACTTATTCGGGTACGACAATTCTGCAGGTAAACAATGCAGGGCAGCTGTTTAGGGCAAAGGTGTTTGGTCATTGGTGAAGGTCAGTTGTGTATAGCAATGGCCTGAGGCAATTACATAGGGACACAAAAAGAAGCAAAAATGTAGAGAAATGTCCTACGGAGATAGACTGGGGCAAAAATGAAAATTCACTGGTGCAGAACCCTTGCAAACAATGAGACCACTCCTGACCTAGGACCTCTTCCCCCCACACTCAAGAAACCAATCCTGACCTCTTCAAGTAGAGACCACCAATGACCTCTTCCCCTGCACAAAAGAGACAACCACTGATCTCTTTGCTTGGACACTACAGACACCTCCGAATCCTTCCCTCTTATACACATGAGAACACACCTGACCTCTGCCCTCTTCCTCTGTATGCAAGAGACCACTTTCAAACCCTGGTCTCTTCCTCTGCACACAAGAGGCAAGTCCTTACATCTGCTCTCTCACCTCAATCTGCCTCATGAGCAGTGGTAAGGCTTTCTTGAACCTCTCCACCAGGTCGACCGCATCCAGTACTTGGATCTTCTCTGAGAAAGAGGCCTTCACGATGGTGGAACATACATCTGGCAGATGTTGGCTTGGCACAGTGTCAAGCATTTTCTGATTTTTAAAAAAAGAGGAAAAAGTGTCATCTTACAACAGTGAGTAAGGGGAGGTAATGGGAGAGAGTGCTGAATCAAGGAAACACAAAGTGAAATTTGACAATTCTAGATACTATTAAATAACTAACTTGCGTAATTCGACACCCACAGACATCTAAGCAATGATGCTCAAAAGATAAAAATTCCAAAACACATTTGGAAAACTGGTTTCTCAACCTCACCTTTCAGAATTTCTTGCCAGATTACCTGACAGATTATACAAAACCTTCACTATGGGAATGGCTACATAAATGTCATGCCAATGTTATCTTCCTCAGGTTTGTCTAACTTACACATGCCACCTGCTGTGAACTCTCACCTTCAGTTTGGCCACCACAGGTATCGAAGTGTCTAGCATCTCCACTAGTTTTGCTGCTTGCTCCCGGAAATTTTCAGCCAAGGAACCCAACTCTTCACTAGCTTGTATCTCTTCTGCAGAAAAAAGGACAAAAAGTTCCTGTTAAGATGGCTAGCACCCCAGCATCAGATACTGGAAGTATTAATAGAAAGCAGCCTGGCACAGGAAATATCAAATATAAAGAGAGGCTGAGAACAGCGAGCAGCAGAAATAGGAACGCTTAATACAACCTGCTTTAGGCATGAGCCCCGACAAATCTCAGAAACAGCTCTCTTTTCCTTCTTTTCTTCAATCTAGCTTCCCCACACACAATTTTGTGCTAACACTTATATTTCTGTTAGGCAAACCACCCTAAAAACTGCTCCAATTAAGACTCTCATTACCAATTCCAGCTATACTGAAGCTGCTTCCAACTGTCAAATCCCCCATTTCCTTCAGCATATTTGGTTCCACAAATTCTGTACGTTTCCTTTCACCTCCTTGCCCTTGACTCTTACAACAAGCCAAAAAAATCATCCACCATTTGCAAGTACAATTCAGGGGATAACAATTAGAAAGTCTTAATCTAATTTGTGAAGATGGAACTCTAATTTCACAATCACTTTACTGCAACATCCTGCAAGGGTCTTTACTAGCAGTCACACATCTCACACTCATAATTCTGTAGATGTAACACTTCTTTAAAGAGTCTGCTTTGCTGTCATTACACATCTTGCCTTTATTGTTCACAGACAATTTGCCCAGCTGTCGCACATACCACGACCACCATTCTCAAAGCTAACTCATTGTTATCTTTCTCACAGAGTTTGCCTTATTTATACAGCTCATTTTTACTTTCATTATTCATCGTCTGACAGCTTATCTGTCACATACTTCAAAATTATCGTTCACTGAGATTTTATACAGCTGTGAGATATCTCACCATTATCATCCTCAGAGAGTTTGTCCAGCTGTTTAACTGAAGCCACGGGGTAGGGGGACTCCTGCAACAACGATTCTACCTGGAAACGACATAGGCCAGTGACCAGTAGCGTGTAAGCCGGCCTAGGCCAATTAGTGCCAGTGATCTGCACCACCACAGCCGCAGTGCCAATAGGGTGCAAGCTGGACAAGTCTTCATCCTGTGACACCAGAAACAACAGATGAGGTAAACACCCACAACATTAAACAAACATTCAAAACATGAAAAAAAAACATCCATAACTTAATCCCCAAAGTGTGGCTAACAAATAGTCTGTAGTGTCAGGTGATATAACATGGTTTCAACACATTATGTTGGAAAATGCTTGAGAACAGGCAAACCGAGCAAGAAAAGGCCATAAATCTACACCTTTTCAGAGAGCAGAATGTAAAAAGGAAGAGCAGAGCTCATTTTTTAAGTAGCTGAAATGTTAGGCAAAATTTAAAAAACAGGATAAACAAACCAAAATAGTGACTAAATTTTACGGCTGTACTACAAAAGAACAAAACTTTAAGCCGATTTAATCATTCCTCCACATTAAGAAGGTTAAAGCATTCACAAATTGAAATAACATTCCTCTACAAAAACCACTCCAGTCCTCCACTTACCACATCATCCGAGTCGTGGGTCTTGGGGATGACTCCAATGATGGTGCTTCTCAGTGTGTTGCTGCCTAGGAGTCTGCTCTTCACCATATTCATGCTACAATAAACACATCATAACGACACATTACGATCACCATGCCCATACTTCATAAAGAAATACAGTCGAACCTGTGTAAGATGGAATCGCAAGGGAGAGGGGGGGAAATTCTGTCTTAGACAGGGGAATTTATGGGGGAGGTGGAGGTTGGGGGGGAGGGGGATTCAAAGGCCCAGCCGGCGGGATCAAGGATCGCTTGTCCGATCGGCAAGCAGTGTCAAAACTTCACACCTCTCAACTGCTATCCTGTCTGATAATGACATGCGTCAGTTTTACTTATCCAATTACCACCATTGCTTGCCTTTCATAGGACCACTGTTTGACCTATTAAAAACAGAAACGTTTGAACATCTCCTTTGCTTCCACCCTTAGCTCTATCCACCAATGCCACCCCTCACTGCCATCATTGTAACAACGATTCGAGGAAATTTTTTCTCAACTGGCCGTACGATCAGGGCAGCAGGCATTGGTCAATCTAATTTCCCACCTCTGGCTTCTGGTTACCCAGGAAAGTTTCCGTAGTGGCTCGCTACTCCAGTACTCTCACGGGCAGTCGTGCGATTTCACATCTACACTACACTGACCATCTGCATCGCTCAGGGCTCACATGAAGGGGTCACATCTACCCCCAAATTGCACACCTACTCCTCTTCCTCGCCCAGCGGCATGACCATAGCGTTAAGTTTAGAGCCGACGGAACCAAATTTGCGAGTTTTGTTTCACATCAGGGCTGAGCGGGCAAAGCATTTTCCGTCTTAGACAGGTGAAACCCTCGGAAGGGAGCAGATTTTTCTTTCCGTTTCCGCGTAAGACAGGTTTCCGTTTTATACAGGTAATTAAAGAGGAATATATCAAGGAGGGAGCGGGGAGATTCCGTTAAGACAAGTTTCCGTTTTATACAGATATACAATATTATCTCTTTAGAATTATAATTCAGTCGTCCTAGCCGACGATCCTACCCCTTTTGATCCCAGTTCGTTTATGATACCCCAGTTTAAGGAAAACAGAACTTTTTACTTTCTATACAAAAGTCATTCTCAAGATCCAACATTTCAGAACATCATTTACTAGCTGATCAACCAAGCAGTGAAAAATTGCGATCATTGTTTGTACTGCTCGTTACATCACAAATCTTCACTCTCATGAATGCAATCACATCTCTCTTGCAAATCTCGATCAGTGAGAACAGGGTTTACCCCAAGCAAGATCATGCCATGGCGTAAGCTCATCACTGCGCCTTTCCCGAAACATTGAACTTGCATTTAAACCCTCTACCAGAATTCAAAACATATAATTATAAAGTGAAAACGGCATGCCTCATCAAATTTATCTATCCAGTACATTGATATTTACTAGCAACCGGTAAGCCATGACCCAAAAATGGACCAGACCTTTTAAACAGTAAAATACATCGTGACCCATTTTTGGGATACTATACTTGTTCTAGAAAAAAAAAATTATCTTTGATCCATGAGTTTTTAAATGTGACTTGTAACATGATAAGAACTTGACAGAGGACAACTCTCAGACATATCTAGGACAGATACAGTTGACTACAGATGAGTTGATGTTGTCAGGGGAATGAAAAGAGACCAACTCAAATTAACTAAACTGTTGGGACCACAAAACAACTTTTTTGCACAAATACAGAAGTCTCCACCTAAGATCCCATCACTTATGATCCCAGTTTGCTTAAGATCCTGCTGTTTCAAGAAAACATAATTTTTACCATGCGAAAGTCACTCCTAAGATCCCACTCTGATTCACTCTGAAAGTCTACATTCGACTAAGATCCTGCATTTCAGATCATAATTTACGGAACATAAACCCGAATGGGCACATCCGATCAACAGAGAGTGACAAGTTGAGATCATTGAACTGCCTGTCACATCAAAGATCAGCCCCTCTCGTGAATATGATCACATAAATCAAGTGAACTTGATGAAATGATATGACTTTTGCTCTGAACAGGATCACACTGACCGACGCGTTTGTTTTCCCCCAACATCGCACTCGCATCTGAGCTCTCCATCTGAACTTATATAAAACTCTCTGGGTGGGCAGGGCCAACAAGTTTGCTCCAGGCGGGATCACATCAAACTGTGGATTCTTCCCTGATCATTGCAGCAGTTGCCTCTTCTCCTGAATTTGCGAGATAAACTGAATTTTAACTGGTGTGGTCACAACGCAATGGTGCATAACGACAAAGGTGGGGAAACTTGGTCAGCAGAGATGGAAAAATATAAATTGTGTAGAGGTAAAGGGAAGGGGCAATTGGATTAGCCAAGATCTTGGGACTAATGACAGGATAATGAGTGAAAATGGCATGCCTCATGCCACTGTGATTGACCTTCAAGGTTGACCACTCTTTGCTCGCCAATATTATGTCATTATAAACCCATCCAGGGTTTATCAGTTCATTTTAGAGTAAGGAAGACCATATTACTGGTTGTGGGCCTTAACATGGGTCACCCTGGGTTCGTCAATTGGTACATCGGCTAAGATCCCATTCGTCTAAGATCCCCGCATTTTCCTTTCTCCTCAGCACCGGGATCTCAGGTGGAGACTACTATATTGACTTCATATTTATCGCAAATTTTTCTATAGTAATTAAAATATTTGAATATTTGGTGTTTTTTATTCAAACTATATCACACTAAGCTTTGGACCAATCAGGCCAATAATTTGATGTTTTTTGCAATATTATAGTAAATTAAGTTTGAAATTTTCCTGAAAATACTTGATTTGTGACATTTTCATAGAAAAATTCTGCACTTTGACCCCAAAAAAAGCAGTGCATCTCTATCTGTGTGTAGGACTGATAGTAAAAATTTACCAAATTCAAATAATTAATTTACAACAGTTTTAGTGAAATGAGCCTTTGCTAATAGGTGGGTACCGGTTCCTAAAATGTAGCACAGAGAGTTGATGATAAAGTTTTTAATATTTCGTCTTTACTTGAATTTTTTTATTCATGTAGGCCTACATCTCCTTCGACAAAAACAAGATTTTACAGACCTAAAGATGGCATGCTAAACTGTGTAACTGACATAACATAACATCAAGTCAAATTCTTTTGGACATAACTATGATGACATATTTTTTTTAATTTGAACACACAAAATAGTTTTCTTATTGCTTTAATTTTCAATCAGAAGCATGAAGAGAATATAAAATGGTGAGGATCACAGAAAAATGAAATTCTGAACGTCATTGTGTTTGCATTTCGTGACCTTAGTGCTTTCTTGTTGTATCTCCATTTTTTTTAAACATTGAAAATGTGACTTCTTCTAAAATCTCACTCTTTGTTACAAACTGTTTTCACTGTTTTTAAAGAAGGATATACGTCAAGAAAGGGGTCGAGATTTGTCATTATTGTTAAGTGCAAAGTTATGAAAAACTTTCCATTTTAATATCTTAATTTCTTTTAGGAAAGTTTTGGCAAACAAAAATTCAGAAAATTCAATTTGACTCACAATGCATGTTAATGATGAAAAATGCGACATTATTCACATTTTACTATGAATCTCTGCAAAATATCAAACATCTTTCGAGCCTAACCATTATGACACAAAATGAAAAGTGCCCTGAAAAGTAATTTTATGGAACAAGAAATTATTCCGTTAGTGTTCTCATTCCTTTAATTTTCAAACATAATCATGCAGATACAAAATGGTAAGTATCACAGAACAAAGAAATTCTGAATGTCGTTGTGTTCGCATTCCGTCATCATAGATGTCCCAAAGAAATGAAAAATTTTCCATTTTCATATTCTTTAATTTATTAAATTGTTTGAAAATTTTGGCAAACAAAGATTCAGGAGATTCAGTTTGACTCATAATGCATGCTAGTTGTAAAAAAATGTCACTCTATTTACATTTTGCTATGACTCAATGCAAAATACCAAATTATCTTTTGAACCTAAGGTTCCATGATGACACATAATGGATAAAAGTGGGTCGTCATTTTGGAATATCATTAATTTACATGAAATTTTCCCCTCTCACTCTCACTGACACTTGGCCAAGCACGTGTGGTCGCATCTAGATCTATTACTTTACTACTTGACCACTGGAATGCAGTGCAATGTTAATCATAACTTGGTTTTTTATTTATTTATTTTTTTATAGTAGAGTGTTTTACGGCGCTCGCAACTGCATAGGTCATATGAGCGCGCGGGACACACCTAATATTTTCAGTTGGTAGGAAATTTTGAATTTTGCCCGGGTGGCGGCCGAAGCCTACTCTTATCGATTTTAGACCACCAAGGGATCTTTAACGTGCGCAACTTGCACACGGGCCCTCCGAGATTTTTCACCCTTGTCCGAGAAGGCTAGGTGTAGATCTTTCCTACCAGAAGATCAGGGGTGTGGCTGGAAGACTGCAGTAAGAAGAAGCGAAGGAGTAGCAGTAGAAAGGCTGCAGAAAGAATCAGGAGCCCAGAGGAAGGGGCAAAGGAGGTGATGGGGTGAAGGCAGAAAGTGGAGACGAAAGAAAGCAGATGACAGAACATTGCTAGAGAGCAGGAAATGAGGTGAAAGGAGACAAATTTAGAGAAGAAAATTTTTCGGTCGCTACCCGGATTCGAACCCGGGACCTTTTGAGTGAGAGGCCAACACCTTAACCTCTAGGCCACGAGAGCCCCCCTTAACTTGGTTTAAATAAATAATTAAATGGGGGAAAACATTTTGCAGACATAATAACAGCTTTTTTATTGAACAGTCATGTTAAGATCTGATGACGACATATATAAGAAAATTTTAATGAAGTCGTCTCATCTCTCGTTATTCTTCTCATCGACTTGCATCGCACAACAATACGCTTTGAATGGATCGACAGGAACAAGCGTTCCTCTACCTCTCTTCTTTCTTGTTTAGTGACAATTGATTCTTTCGAGAATAAATTATGACAGAGTGCGAGGCGTTGCAGGGCAGAAAGTAAATATTCAACGATACTATTGCTCATTCCAGGGCCCCAAAAAGGCCGAAAGAAACGAAGTTACTGGGAATCGAAGTAGTCTTGCGAAATGACGCAACAAGTTTATAAATGCTCACAAATGAAAACAGAAGTCTTACGAAGAAAAAACAGCTACAGATATCTTCATATATATTCCTGATATAGCACCACAATAATGTAGATAGTAGTGAAAGTGTAGAAGGACGAGTTTATCATCACTGCTCAATTGTTTTATTGTTGAACTTGACGAAAGAAAAACTATGAACTCAAAGAGTCACGTTTTGTATTCTAAAAATACACATAAAAATTCAGAACTCTACAAATATTAGTATTTCTTCTCATGGCCCGACTGCTATTTGTCAGCTCCTAGCTTCTGAAACATCATATTAAGCACAACCTACAAAATTCAAAGCTGTAGCACCATTTTTATTGGAATAGGAAAGGATTTTGTAGTGAATAAAAGTAATTCCCACCAATTGGCAAAGGCTCATTGTGATCTGCAGTGATTATTATATATGCAGTTTGATTCTCAGACATTGTTCATTGTTTCAGGAAGCAACATCCTTACATTCCGGAAACGAAGTGACTATTCGGACTCAAGTCTGAATATGAAAAAATGTTATTCGGACTCTGATTCTTGTCCAGCATGACATCACTTCCGACTTTCTGTGACTCGTGACTCCGGCTTCCTATCTTGCCTCACTCGTGACTCGCCTCAGGCTGGGTAGAGACCGTGATCACTTCGGGCAAAATGGCGTTAAATTGTGCCGGAGCCGAGTTTTTATCTTATGATGAATTTGAGGCCGGCCTGAAAAGTTAGAGCGCTTCTAAATAAATGTTTATTTTTTCAAGAGGTCATCACAAGCAATTAAAGATGGCTCGTTAGCGTGTGTCGGGGTCGGATGGGCAGCCTGCACACGTACAGCTACGTGTGCGTGTCGGGGAAGGGGGCGCTATCGGTCCGGGCGTTGAATGTCGCATACGTGTCAGTCCCCCCCCCCCCCCCCCCCGGCAACTGATCATTAACAATAATAAGCTAGTCTTGACCTAGATCTACGTAATGAATTAATGAATTGTGCGCTGATCTATGGAATCAAAAGTTGCCGCATGCTCGGCTCTACACAGCAATACAACTTTTTCTTGGTAAACAATCGAGATGACACAGGCTTGTGTATACATTTGAACGGATCGGTCTTTTTTTTTTTTACACAGCTCATAATATGCAGGTGCCAGGAGATCTTCTAATCTTCAATTTTACCTTTTTCTACAATAAAGAAAGTGGGAAACATGGGGGGTGGGGGGGGGGCGTATCAATGAGGCGGCGGGCATTGGATCGGCAGGAAAGGTGTGGGGGAAACTAAAAAATGGCGGAAAATTGGAAGCACTGACCATTACATCTATAATCTATAGAACGAAGACACTTCCTTTTTTTCCGGACCCATGTCCAAATAACATTTTTTCTTATTCGGATTCGAGTCCGAATATGAATTTTTTTTATTCGGACTCAAGTCCGAATATGAAAAAATGTTATTCGGACTCGAGTCCGAATAATGACGGCCTTCCGGAAACGTCAATTGATGTAATGTTGCTCTCTCCAAAATGCCACTGAGGGTCTTTCTAGAGTCTAGAGATTGTGCCAGTATCTTGTTGAACATTCTGCTTTCCTGCAAGGCGCAGCCACGGTGCAAGATTTTCTGCTTCCTTTGAACAGCTGTACTCCTAAAACCATCATCCTCTCCACAGCAGTAGGCCCTACTGGCCTAGACTCTGCCTCCTTATATCTTCCTCTTCAATCAGGTGGTGACAGGATCTCGACCTTGCTTTGTCAGTCAATTCAAAGCATTTTGTAGTGTCTGTGAGCTGTAGGCTAATCGGTGAAAGTTAGACTTTCCGACATGACGTGCCGACCTTCCCACTAGATCTAAATCTAGATCTAATATCTAGATCTAGATCTAGATCTATATTTCCTTTCACTTTCCCGGAAGTCACTTCAACTTCAATACATCACACCGTCATTCTGATTCCAGCACTCTATTCTATTTGGATCTAGATCTAATCTAGATCTAGAATCTAAATATATCTAGATCTAGATCTAGACTTAGTCTAGATTTCTAGATGATCTAGATATCTAGATCTAGCCTCTAGCACTCTAGCTTCCGTTACAACAACAAGGTAAACAAAAAGGATATCTAATTGCATTCGCTAACTAAAAGACTTTTACTAATAAAATATATTGCAAGCAAGCAGGCCTACTTTTTTAGACTTCTGACAGGAATCCGCATGGAAGATCCAGGAAGTAACACATTATCGCTGATTAGAAGCAGAGGGACTCTGCGGGGAATTGAGATGGAAGAAGCCATGTTTTGATTTTGTAATGTGATGAGAAGCTTTCGCCCTTCCTTGGGTTCAAAGTTCGGGACTTTCGTTGTTCCAATTGTTTACATCCACGGAAAAGAGGCCTCTGTCGCTCTTCCACACTGAAAATAAATTTTACTACACTGAAGAGTGGTATAGATATGTAGTTATTTTTATCAAGGGAAGGTAAAAAAGACCGCGTCTTCCCGTTTTCCAAGAAAAGAAGATCTCACTCAGTTTCTGTGAGTTTCTGTGACTAAGCTTCCTTAATTTGGAGAAGGAAGCCTTTGGGGAAATTTTTTGGGGCTTTCCTTTATTTCAAAGTTTTGATGTAGGATGTGATTCATGGACAGAAGAAGGAAAGCGTCAGAAAATTGTGGATTTTTAGAGTTAAATCTAGATCTATGTTAACTGTTTAATTGTATCATACTTGTATGAGAATATCTAAGAGTGTCTTTATATTAGCGTGCGTAAATTGTAAACCCAGACTCCCAGAGTAGAGAGCCAAGGCCAAAGTAAGTGCCAACAAGTCGACAAGTAGATCTGCTAGAGTCTATAGACTATAGAGATCTAGATATATAGATCTATATATCTAGATTCTAGGTCTAGAAATCTAGATCGGTACTACTTAAGACTTAAGAATCTGGCGGGTCCCATTTGGGGATATTAGTTAGTTTTGACCCCACAGACGATTACTTCTGGTTCTAAGTCTAAATGATTACTTTTTGATGAGTGTGCCGATATGGAGAGATAGCCTATCAAACCTAGGCTTGCAAAACATCAAATTATGTTCCAATTCAGGGAGGCATGCCCCCCCTGAGCCCCCCCCCCCCCTCCATGTTTTTGTTAGCCCCCCTGAAACAAGTCTCCCTTGTTAATAGCTAACTAGTGAATTTTTAATGTTCATTTTGTAGGCTGGATCTAGATATATCTAGATCTACTGATAGAACATCGATACCGAATATTTTTGTCAGTATCGATATCCAGTACTCTGTGTGGATGATGCCTAGATCTAGTCTAAACAGACGGGACCCAGATTCTTAAGTTGTACCTCTAACTCTAGATCTAGAAGATCTAGGGTAAGCCAGATCAGATCTACATCTAGATCTAGAAAATCTAGATTCTGGTAGGCTAAGTGTATAAATTGGGTCTCTTTGGAAATTACCTTCCCATTTACAAAAGAAGGAAGTGGCTATACTATCCTCACCCTGGGTGAGAATAAAAATACCGTCGACCTCTCACCCCGGGTGAGACTTGCCAGCGTTGGCTATTCTCACCCGGTGTGAAATGAGACCTGTTTTCCCTAAGGCTACATAGTTATTCGCACAGGGAGTGTGAATACTATGGAATTGCATTCACACAGGGTGTGTGAATACTGTGTGAATACTTTGAGATGTTATTCGCACAGGGTGTGTGAATACTATGAAATTATATTCACACAGGGTGTGTGAATAAATATTATTGGCACAGACAGGGCGTTTCAAAAGACGGATGGAAATTATCTAGATCTAGCTTTTCCTCATTTTTTCATCCTCATTCGCGTAGGGACAAAGATCATGGATTTAAACAAGACAGTTCGCTCCTCTTTTTGAGCTAAATAAAAAAGTGTCCTCTAAATTTGGTGGCACCCTCTTCGACAAAGTGCGGACTTTGCAAACAGACCCTACTTGGACTTGTGTGAAAAGCAGTAAATAAAAATGAAATTAACAGACTGCTTATATATATATATATATATCCTATTCTTCTTCTGAAAGGAAAGAGAGCTTCAAAACAAAGACTCCAGCGCCATCTGAAGCAATGCGCTGACTTCCGCGAACACTTTTCGGGCTGAGTGAACAATCTTGTTATCTCTCTTTGGTTGGGATAGATATCTAGATTCCAGATCTAAATGGCTAAGATCTAGATTTAATTCTAAGTACACGTTGTGCAATGCGCATTACAAAAAAACAACAACAACAACAACTTAAATTGGAATTCAAGTTAGGTATTGTGTCAATGATGACTCAAATCTCTCTTTTTTTTAGTTTTTTGTTTTCCTTGCGCCTTGAGAGAGAGAGAGAAAAAGAAAGAGAGAGAGAAAGAGATGAGTGCATGCTTACTTTAACCCTAAATCTGAAACAAGTTATACTAGATCTAGATCTAGTGTCCAGTTGTTTTAACATTTAAAGCCTTTGCCAAAAGGTGGGATACCCAGGTGTGGTGACAAACGAGGTCCAAAATCAACGTAGGCTCGACCATGTGCGAATAAAATTATTTGTTATTCGCACATCCCGGTGTGAATAATATTAATTCTTTTGCGCTCACCTGGTGTGAATAAAATAAAATTTTAAACGCACACCCGGTGTGAATAATCACTTCCTTTTCCTAATTTCGGAATACTGTCTATCAGTGTGGATGATCTGATTGACAAAAACAAAGAGAGAAATGACGTTATAGCACTAAAGTTTGGTTGTCTACAAAGATGCTGTGGCTATTTCACTTTTTGAAATGAGCCATACTACGCGGGTCGCCATTTTGTTTTGCTCAGAAGTTCTCGCAAGATCTACTCTCTCTCTCTCTCTCTCTCTCTCTCTCTCTCTCTCTCTCTCTCTCTCTCCCTCTCTCCCTCCCTCCCTCCCTCCCTCCATCCCTCGCGCGCGCGCGCTCTCTTTCTGAATACTGTCTGTCAGTATAGACGATCAAATTGACAAAAACAAAGATAAAAAATGATGTTAAAACACAAAAATAAATTGATTTGGTTTGTCTACAAGGATGCTACGGCTATTTAACTTTTCGAATCGAGCCGAACTTTGTTTTGCCCAGAAGTTCTCGCGCTACTCCTCTCTCCCCCCCCCCCCCCCCTCTCTTTCTCTCTCACTGCCCACAGACAAAATTGCACGCTTTCATCACAAGAGTGCTGGAGCATTTGTTCAAGGTGAACGCTACACTGTTGGCCTATCGCGGTGAAGGCACACCGGGTGAGAATAACCAAAAGGCCCGCCTGCGCCAGGGTGAGAATAGAGGTGGCCACATAAGAAATAAGTGATTGTTAAGGACAAAAGTGGCCATTTCGGCTAAGTGGGCAATTGTTTAGATTCCCCCGCGTTTAATTCCGATGTGCGTTTTTCAGGGTTAGGGTTAGGATTAGGATCTAGATCTAGGGACAAAAGCGAAACATGCCTGAAGCTATGAAAAAGGCACATATTGGAATTAAACGCGGGAATCTTAACAATCGCCGCAAAGTGAACCCTACCGCATTAGCCAGTATTATTTTTCTGCCTTTTTTGTATTGATTTTATCTTGGCCGGATTTCACTTTGGAAGAGCCACCATGTTTACATGTGTGTGTATTAATGCGCACTAGCCATAACAGTGATGGGTTTCTTGCCCCCCTGGCAAAAATAATAATAAAAATACCTTACAATCTTCACGTTTACATTGCAAATTATTAGTTTCAAAATGGCTATCAATGAAACGGGAAGGCAATTTCCAAAGAGCGCCTATAAATCTTCTTTTGTGTTGTGTTACTCTTACTCTTACTATTTCAATATTTACTCATTGAAATTATGTTAGAGTTCGTCTGTTACTGAGTTAGTGTTTGTATTAGAGTCTAACATTTTAATTTTTGCTAGGCTTTTTTTGGCTGGGCAGAAAAAACTCCACTAGAATCATCCGATAATAATGAATTACAAGTGAAAAAGTAAATTTTTTAATAGGATGCATCATTCTTAATCGGAGGCCGCGACTGACACAAAGAGTCGTTCTAGTGAGTGGTTCCTTTGACTGATACTATCTATAATTAAAATAAACGCTCTGGCTACGAACTCTCAATTACGCAACAACGCATTAGAATGTATGGTAAAAATGTATACGCCTACCAAGATGTTTCAATTGCCCTATCTCACGTCCGGGCAAGACTTGGCCGCCACCTTGCGTTAGCACTTGACAGCCCGTGATAGGAGTGTAAACAAACATTCCAACGCTGTCGAGTTGAAAGCGTGCTATTTTGTCTTTGGGCAATGTGTGTGTGTGTGAGAGAGAGGGAGAGAGAGAGAGAGAGAGAAGGTCGGGGGGGGGGGGGGGGGGGAGAAAGAGAGATGGAGAGAGAAGGGGAGGAGAGACAGACAGATAGAAAGAGAGAGAGAGGGTGTTTGCTATTATAATAATAAAAAGAATTGATTCCGGTCATTTCTCTGCGTCGTTTCCCAGGCTGACCTGGTGCAATACAGTCATTATTGTACACATTTTATGACCAGTCACATCTTCCGAATCCCACCTTCTGTTTCCCATCTCTCATCTCTTGTTTCCCATGTACCATATCCAATTTTCTATATCCCATATCCCGACTTTAATTCCGTAAGGGTGCTTCGTTTTCCTTCTTCTCATGGGATGGAACACTTGAAGCTGGCCAAAATATTTGACATACGTCACTGTCGTCACTGACTTAAACTGACTTACTTAAACCGGCAGCTCTGTTTAAACGAAGCTTTAGTATCATGAACGTAGCCTCAACAGCGCCTGCAAAATGCATTCAGGGCACCATGAGCATAGCCTGCCAACTACGTTCACGGCACCATGAACGTAGCCACTGTGTTTCTTAAACCCCTTTCCGAAAGGCCAATATGTCCCATGCCTTGCTATTATATTGAGTAGCCTAAGTTCTGTGGTATTTTTCTACTTACTCTAAACTCAGACCCATTTTTTGCACTGATTGTATACTTTTTTTGTTTCCTCTTCTAGACATGGCTAATGTGTTTAAGAAAAGACAACATGAGGTCCAGTTAACTGGGACATGAGCACACAGCAGGTTCATGGAAATGAGTTCTCATAATTCATCCACAAAATCCTCATTTTATGAGGAAGGCCCTTCAGATCTGGTGCAAAAACTGACTGCAGCTATCCAAGCTGGTGAAAATGACAAAGCGACAGAACTGGTGGCAGAACTAACCTCTCGTAAGCTCAAGTTGGACATTGCTGTGCCTAAGGAAGACAACGAGATTAGAGCCAAGGAGAATGAGTTCAGGTGAGATGGGGCAGATGAGTTAGGGATGGAGGGATGGGGAAGGGGAGCCTGAGAAATAGATGGAAAAGAAGGCCTGTTGAGTTTAGGGGGTGGGGTGGGGGCTGAAGGCTATAAAGATGGACTTTGGGAGGACAGAAAGAAGGGCAGATGGATAAAGGAGACAGGGGAATAGATGCGAGAAGGAGTAGCCTGTGATATACTAGTTTTCTCTTCAAGAATTCTTTTCAAAGGCTTCCTAAGGATACAGGGTGATAAGCAGAGGAATGAGAATCAACCTCATTGTGTAAGCAGAGTAAAGCATCATTTAACTCAAGATGTAACTGTTCTATTACTTTTCTGTTGCAGCGTCAAAGTTCATGTTGAAGACCGTGAGTCTAAAGGCTGTATTATCAACATGATGGTCAAGTCTTGCGATACAGTGGGTGACCTGAAGAGGAAGGTGAGAGTCCTGTATGTGCTACTTTTGGCTCTGTTTTTCAGACCAGACCACTCTCTTGGTCTGAGTCATGTGTCAGAATATATTAATTTAGGGGGAATATAATGTTCATTCAAGCCCATGGACTAGTCCCTTGAGTTACCTGCATTATGGTGAAACTGGGACCTGGGTTCTGTGGTATGGGGACAGTCTGCCCTCTGGGTTTCACAGAACTGACTTTTTTAGTTTTGGGGGTCACAGGTCTGTTTGTTTTAGTAAGGTTTTACGGCGCTCACTACTGCATAAGGTCATATGAACACCAAGGGGTGAATGTCAACAGAGAAGTCCAAACATGGAATCAGGCTTACTCTGCTCACCTCTCTAGCCTCAACAAGAAAAAAGTCTGCTTCGACTATCAAGGCACCACAAAAATAGCAGTTCACCTGAGAGTGACAAACATACAAAAGAAGTAGAGGGAAAATGATAATAATAAGTAGGAGGAAAGAAAAAGCAGCAGTTCCCCCCGATGTTTTTCCGGCACAGCATGAGCCTGACATTGATAAATCAGCCCATTTACTATTCTAATGTGCATAAAAGCATGTTAATATCCCTCCTTTTGTATTTACCTAAAGACAACTTCAGTCAGTAGCACTGTCCTAGTGGGGTATTCACAGGTCACATGGAATCAAATGCATACGAAATGGTAACATACCCCATCCAGCAAAGATGACCAAATGTAAGGCACATATGTATCAAGACTGTTCATATGGATGTCTTCCACGCTCAAAGATACACATAGAAACCTGCGGTTTGGTTCAACAGGCCTAAAATTTCTATGCCCACAACTTGTCTTGTAGATTATGCAAGATCAAAATAAGTGACTTCTCTGCAATCCCACTTTTGGTTTGGGTACTGTCTTCTAGTTATTGATATAGGGACTGTCTCTGATATGGAGACCGTTGTCCATCCGGTTGTAAGTGTGGGGTTACTCGGTCCTTCAGTCATGTACTTATTTCCTTCTATTCTTGTCCCAGTACAGTGAAACTCAGATTCAGCGAAGTCGTTGGACCTGACCTTCAATTTCATTTAATCCTAGTGTTCGTTATTGCAGACATGAGGGATTTTTTTTAAATAATTGCAGACACCGAGCAAGTAATGTATAATGTATTCGACTTTCTCAATCAAAAGCAGGTCGGTTTCAAATGAGAGGCATTTTTGTTTCCTTGATGTAATTATGAAGAAATGCTGGAAAATTTCAGGAATATGCACTGAACTCTACTAAACACACACTTTGCAAAAGGGCCAATTCCTTCAAATGCACGCCTAACTCATCTATCATCTGATTCTAAAATGTACTGTTTGCCCAAACAAGTTATGTTGCTCTGCGTAGCCTAGCATATGGCAACATTTGATTCTACTATCCAGCATGCAATTCCTTACAATGTAGTAGATTTATATCAAGACTAATTTATCATTGTAAGGTAGTAATTGGGGGATAAAACTGTCACGCGTTTGTATCTTTGCCTAAGTTCCAAACCCAGACCGCTTGTGCCCCCTTCGCTTGTGTGCTGCCGCCCGTCCGACCCTGACAAACGCTAAGAGTAAGACGTGTGTGCTTTCTAACAATGTGTGCTTTGGTAAGGTAGAAGGCCGCTGATTGGTCGCACAAAAATAATAAGATATAAAATTATAAACAATAGGTTAAGCGAATAATGACTCACAGTACAGGTGCTATGGATGGTTTCCAGGAAAAGATAAGGTTCGTTGTGGGAGAAAAATTAGCTGAACTACGTCAGCGGGGGGCTGTTCATTCTGCAAGCAACTCTGCTGAATCCAAGCTAGCTCATTTATGTGTTCGTTGAATCCGAGATACTTCTATTAATTGTTAGGAATAGAAAAAAATGGGAATGCTACTCCTTTCGTTTAATCTGAGTTTTTGTTGAATCCGAGTTAGTTGAAACCGAGTTCCACTGTACTAACCTTGTTCCCTTCCTTGACGTGGGCCACCCTTCATCTAGATGATGCTTCAGCACGACTTCCCTTTGGAGGTTCAGCGCTGGATCATTGGCAAGAGGATTTCCAATGACAAGGAGAAGCTGTCTCACTGTGGGGTGAAGGAGGCCGGCCACACTCTCTACCTCTACCTGGTAACAGCACGCTCAGTGGGGCTCACCCGCCAGCAGTACGACTTGCACAAACAGGCGGCATGTGAGTACACAGTACACTTAGACACATGGTCAACCAGTAAGCACATAATACACCCTCACAATACACATGGACACTCAGGTTGTGTGGAAGTATGCCTCGCAAACACACACAACAACAAGAGCTGTATGTAAGTACAACACAAATCCCTCTAGTAACACATAAGTGAAATACAGGCACACAGGCAGTGTAAGGCACACAAATACAGGGGCAGCAGGTAAGTACCATACGCAGACACTCACACCTCCCATATATATTGTCTTGTTTGTCACTTTCTGTCTGTTCTATTGTCTGGCATAGCCCTGTCAAGATGTGTATTCTCCAACCACTAGGAGGTCTTGATTGACAAATAGAACTAATTTGTGGTGTAATGGTTAAGCTTATCCACTTACTGTTGGTGTCTGTTGGAAGTGCTCCCTCTTAATAAATGAATCTGATATAATGGTAAAGCTCTCCTTTTTCCCGTCAGCTTGTGTTTAATGGCTTTTTCCCTTTTTATCAACATCTGTGATGAAATGGTTATAATGCTTTCTTCCTTTCTGTTAACATCTTTGATTATGTGGATGTGAACAATAAACGTTTGTGTCCATTACCATTTGAATGTTTCTGAGCTTAGACCCACCTTTGAGTAGCAGGTCTTTGATATGATATCTATATCATTCTTGGGTAGTACATTGTTGTTGATTTAGCACATATTGTGTATAGCTTAATTAAGACTGATGAGAATGCACTTTTGTTTTTCAGTGCAAGGAGTGCCAATATCTGGACAGTCGCTTTTTCATCGAGGTGAGCATGTTGCTGTGTAAATAGATTTTTTAAGTAAAATTTTCGTAGTTCTTAATGGACTTATTATCATCTTTGTGCAATTTACTCGTATTCTACCTCAGAATAGTCATAAATATCCATGAACTTGCACTCTCTTCCCCCTTTCCAACAGTCAAAAGAAAACATCCTTGAAGTTTCTCCCACCCCCACCCCCCTTCAGCCTTTCCCCATTTCATGGTCTTTGCCCTTCCCTTCCCTCCCCCAACCCCCTTCCCCCCCAGTGTGAGAAAAACCCCACCCCCCACCCCCAAGTCTCCTTTCACTTTCAGCAAAGCCTTCATGCACTACATGTTCTTTCCAGAGAGCTCATCAGATCAGTCCATGTGGAATTTGCACTTGGATGGGCAACTGCAGTGCTTCAATGGCACAGCAGTCAACACTCACTCAACCTCCTCAGCATTGAACATGGCTGATCTAAGTCAAGGTCAGCCCTCACCGGTAGCAGTTTCGACCAGTCCAGGCTCAAGACATTCCGTCAGTGGGGGTAGTTTGAAGTTGCAGGTCTGTTTTATGTTGTAGTGAAGTGTGTGCAGTGGTCTGATGGTTGTGTCCTATTGTATGTAGTGGTCTCAGTATGAGGGAGGTAGGATGTAAAAGGTGGGTGGTTGGCGGGTGCTCTGGTGTGGTTTGCTCCTTCTTTCCTGTCAAACATCTATCATACTTATATCTCTCCTTCTTCTTTTTTGTGTTTGTCACTCTCGCATAACACCTCTAATCTACAACATTTATATGGCCTTAATGTGTTGCAAGTGCTGTGAACAGAAGGATATAAGGTTAGTGGGATAGCTTGAAATTACAGGTCAGTTGTGTGTAGTGTTCTGTTAGCTGCATGGGTCAGTTGCATACTATGGTCTGTTGTATATTGATTAGTGAATGTTTTACACCCCTGTCAACATTATTGAAATGTTTTGGAAGAGAGCTGCTTTGACCCTGCCTGTCAGGGCTGAATTGAATAGTACCTTACAGAAAGCCAGAGATACAAGATAAAATGAGACTTCCCACACAGAGGTTGAGCTCACATCTTTTGCATGCAATGATGAAAAGCCTAACCATTATGACACAGACACAAGTGTCAGTTGTGCTGAGAGTAGGGGAAGTAGCTTGAAGTTACAGGTCAATTATGTGAAGTAGTCAGTTGTGTGTAGTTATAAGTGTGGTAGTTGGAAGTTACACATATGTTGTGTGTAATGATTCGGGTTCGGGTTTTAGATCAGTAGTGATTGCGGTCAGTGAGACAGCTTTAAGTAACAAATTAGTTGTACAATTCATTGTTGCCTGCTTTGCAGCGTGATGTAATCTCACCTGACCCCTTTCCATCCAGGAGATGCTGGCATCAGTTCCTGCCTCACAAGCCCTGAGTTCGTCAAGTGGACTTGCCTTTGACCCCAGTGAAGATGATCTTAGCCCAGCTGTCAGTCCATTAGTAATGGCAGGGCCTAGATGGTCACGGGCAAGTCGCTCCCCATCTCCTGGACCGAGCTCACCAAAGGAGACACAGTCAATAGAGGTCAGTCCATGTACCTTGTAGAGTCTGATGGTGCTCAGAGAGTATGTTAACTGCATTTCATCTGCTCCTAGTAGAGTTATGTGGTTCGTAGAAAATAGTTTAGTTACATGAGTGTACCTTTATATGTGATTAGTACCAATATCTGAGAACACTTTTGTAAAACCAAACCTCCAAAGTAAAAACCCTCAGGTGTGACCTGTGTGACCCCTGTCACAGATCCTTTCTTTGGGCCAGAGCTCTAAATAGGTGACCATGGTCAGTTTTGGTGATGATGACTTGAAATAGCTTGCTTGAGCATTCTTGTAATACTTTCTCTCATATAGTGTAAAGCATTTCATCTCCAACCTATTCCTCCTACTCCTTAAGGATGGGGTTTGTCTTCTAAGTGTGCATTAGGAAATACAAAAACCATTGTCAGTGCAAGACTGCTTGCTCAACCGTCTCTCCCAAGTACCTGTATTTCTTAAATTTTGCCATTATCAACCTCCCTTGTTTTCCTCCTCTGCAAATGTCTCTTTATCAGCCTTTCTGCTAATTCGCTCAAGCAGATTTTCCCTTATAGACCTTAAGTCTCATCTGTTGCAACAAATTTCGCTATGTGGGTCGTTGGAGGGTGCCACGGGTAGGTTATACTTTTGTACTTTCCCCTCTTTTTTCTGCCTTTGTTCTTCCCCATGCTAAATAACTAGTATTGTGTCAGTGCACTTCTTTTTACTCAGACAAAAACCAATTTCATCCCCTCAGTTGTCCTCTGCAACAAGTGTCCCCTTATCGATATCAACTTCCCCTCTTTTCATCAACAACAAATGTCCCTTTATCGACCTCTTCTCTCTTTGTCTACAGCAAGTAGGATGGAAATGTCCCCGCTGTACCCTGATCAACCTCCCCATGCGACCTGGCTGTGAGTTGTGTTCAGGGTCAAGGCCATCAGATTACCATGTGCCTGACGGTTACCAGCCAACTGCTGAGGAGATGAAGCTAATGGAGAATGACCAGCGTCTGGAACGTTTAACTCGTGAGGTCAGTAATGCTTTTGAACTGTTTCTGTCGTACAGAGTGACCATAGGTATCCATTGTGCTCATGAAGTGTTTGTGTCACGACATCGTAAAATCAGGCGCTAGTCAATTTTTGGGCTTGTTCGCTTGTCTTGCTTTCGATGAAAAAAACTACCTATGTATCTTGAAAAGAAGTCTAGATTGTGATTGAAGAAGATAGGGTTGCCTAGTTTCAGAAGTAAAATGAAAATAAGGGAGAAAATGGCAGCCAAAATTTGAGGAATTTGAGTGCCCTTGGTAACTGCGAATTTACATTTTTTGTGTGCTTTTAATCAACAGTTTTCTGTAAAATCCATCATAAATGTGTTTTAAAATGAACATAAAAGATGCTGAGCCAAAAACAAAAAATTCTATAAAAATAGCCAAACTGTCTGAAATGTGCCGTTTTCTTCTATTTCATGATTTTGACAAGCGCCTGATTTCACAATGATGCCTTACATTTGTGTTCTTGTAACCCAATAGATCAGTGGAGATTTTGAGCTACCTCTTTTATGTTGTGCAGTCACAACTCGAGGCGAATTGTAAATTGGAAAAAGAACACACTATTGTTCACAAGCCACATATCCAACTTGTTGATCTTATTAGGACTTGTGCCGCCGGACAAGTGCCTGGAGCTCTTTCTCAGTGCCACTATCCCAGACGGTTTTGGCTTCGTGTAACATATTACTAATTTCTTCTTTGAAAAGTCTGTAAAGTGTCTTACGATCAACATGGGGAAAGGAAATTTATAGATGTAATAATAAGCTGCAAGTAACCTGAGCTGTGCCACACCGGAAAAGGTGTGCCATTGCCTGATGCCTAATACAGAATCTGTTTTTTTCCCTTTAATTATAAAGCAAAGGTCACTACAACGTAAACATTTTGGTGTGTTACACGAACATTCATATGAACGTAGGAAAATTCCAAATGAAAAATGTTTGAAATACCCTGGAAGAACAATATTTGCATTCTCTACCTCTCACTTAAGATCAATAAGACTGAATGTAAATGGTATCGCTTTTGCACAAATCAGTTCGGGAGTGTGGAATATTTCCACATGCCCTGCATTGGGGCGAATGAGGAGCTAGTTTTAGTGAAAAGGAGGCGTCTTTTTGACTACTGTTTGAATATTTAAGTTTCTGAGTTGCACAGAAAGACCTAAAAGGCGATAGATAATAGAAGTCTTTTCATAGAATGTAGAAACCATGCTGGAGAATCTATATGACTTGTCTATAGAAGTTATATCACCTAGGTAACAGACATATGATTGGAAGAAATTATATCGTAGGATGCAGAAGTCATATTGTAGCTATGACAATGAAAAATCAAATTTTTATCTAAATTGCTTAAAAACAAGCTTAAATGAAAGAAGAGTAAATTCTAAGAACTGTGGTTTTTAAATTTTAAAGATCCATTGATAAATTTTAAAAGGTATGGGGATTTTGCTTGCAAAATTATGGGGGACTTTCATATAGAAAAATATCGCCAGTGCAGAATCTAGTTCTGCTATCTCTTTTTCAATGTCTTTATTACTTTGGATCTTTAAGACTAATATTAGTGTGAAATTTGTTGAATTGTGTGACATCAGTAAAGCGGTATCGGGAAAACCCTCAATGAAGTCATCGGTGACGTATTCAGTTATAGGCAGCCAATCACATGCCGCCTACCAAACTCACTACATGGACAAAAACCTGGTGTGTAACCGTAAACAAAGAAAAGTCTTCTGCTACACTCTTCACTCTCAGCCAGGCTGAGCCAAAACACCTCACATTAGACAAAACCCCCCTAAAGTTTGAGAATCAACAGAAGTATCTTGGAATAATCTTTGACAAGCGTCTCACATGGAAACAACACATTCAAAATGCAGAAAATAAAGCCAGGAAGAAACTTAACATCATGAGAAAACTAGCAGGGACTCAGTGGGGAGCAAATGAGAAAACACTTAGACAGGTCTATCTGGGCGCAATCAGGCCCCATCTCGAGTACGAATCCAGTGCATGGATGACTGCAGCACAGACTCACAAATACTCTCTGGAAAAAGTGCAAAACCAGGCTCTCCGAATAATCACTGGAGCAATGAGGTCAACGCCTATAGAAAAGATGGAACAAACAACATCTATAGTGGCCCTGCAGAGGAGATGGGAATGCAAGGCCCTCATACAGTACACCAAGGCCACAGCTATGGAGGATCATATACTGCACACGAGAACAGCGAGATCGAACACCGCAAGACTCAAAAGATCCAACTTCATCAAAGAAAGCAGAAAAATCCAAAGATCCCTACAGGACCATCTACCAGTCACAGTTAACATGCTGAATCACACCCCAGAGGCACCATCATGGGAAAAGAAAAACACAAACATGTCTATACACACGTCCATTCCTATGTTCACCACAAAAGATGACCACAGCGACCTGAGCAAGAAGTCCCTCACCCTGTCCATGCTTGAAGAAAGATACCCACGAGAAGCATGGATAAGGATCTATACAGACGGATCTGCCACTGATGCTGTGAAAAGAGGAGGAGCCGGAGTGTACGTACAGTTCCCAAATGGATGACGACAAGCAGAGGCAGTCCCAACAGGGCGACATTGTACAAACTACAGGGCAGAGACGGAGGCTCTAGTACATGCAGCAAACATCATCAAGAATGTGGTAGACCCCCAAAGCCTAGTAGTATTCCTAACAGATGCCATGTCAGTACTGCAGGCAATCACTTCCGGCAAACTACCAAGGCTACGAAAAGTAATTGAGGACATCCCATGTCTGAGGATCATGCTACAGTGGATTCCATCACACTGTGGTGTCTTGGGAAATGAGCAGGCAGACAGGATGCCCAAACTAGGAGCACAAAAAGAGCAACCAGACAACAGCGTTAACTACACAGAAATAAAAACTATTATAAATACACTATTTAAAGCACCTCAGACACCAGATGGCTACCATGAGCTGTCCCGCCAAGAACAAGTGATTATCTTCAGACTAAGGACACAACACACAAGACTGAGACAACATATGTACAAATGTTTTAAACTAGTACAATCACCAAAATGCCAGTGTGGAGAGGCGGACCAAACTGTTGAACACATCCTTCAGCACTGCAAGACACACAGGGCCCTGAGACAGGAAACGTGGCCAACCCCACTGACGCTACAAGAGAAGCTATATGGGCCGCCAGATGAACTGAGCAGGACGGCCCAATTTATGACAGATACCGGACTTCAAGTGTGATGCGATCGAGAAGAAGAAGAAAGACATGCCGCCTAGCAATCACGCGCCTCTCGCACGCCGTAGGCTTGCGTGTTGAGTCCGTGATATAGTTTCCAGCTCTAGTGTTTTATCAATGGATGGGTGGTAATTTTAAGTTGGTACGTAAAATGTACTACGCACAGAGATCTGAAATTTTACAGCAATAAAGAAGACATGTGGGACGCCTGTGTGTTTGGCTATCAATCCACAGCACCGCTTACTTTCCAAGATTTGAGCCATTGTCCGAGATGTAAAGACAGATTTGAAATGTGCCACTTTGGCGCCATATCTATCATGCAGAGTTTCAAACCCTAATAACACCAAAATTATTTTTCTGTGTCCTTTCCGAAATATTTTCTCTTAAGAATGTTGTCGTGACCGGGTGCTCTGCCATATATGAAATGAAGTGCACTGAATGTGATAGGAAACTGATTCAGGTAGGCCCTACATATTTTACCTGTAACCTCGACATGATCTTTGAAGGCCTTTTTTTCCCTTGTTCTGCTGACTTCGATTTCTGTTGAGATGCTGTGAGTGTTGTTTGTTTTAGTCTCATTTGTGGCTCACTGATGACCACACAAAACACAGAGGTTGATTCATCAAGTTGGGTTTTTTTTCCTTACCGGCATTGTTATCTTGTGATCCAGCAGGGTCATCACTATTGCCAGATTTGTTACAGTTTTTTTTTATATATAGTGAAGCTTTGTTTATCTGTTGTGGCATTTTTCGTGACTTTCTCAAGTTGAAGAATGCAAAAAAGAGGAGACAGCCATGGCGCAGTCATACTGTTATGTGAGACTACTGATCATTGATAACTGCAGTAAGAGACTTGTCAGCTGTTCCAACATGCGGTATGGAACTTGCCATCATTGCTACCACCCTTGAGAAGGACGAGACCAAGAGCTCTTGTGCCATTGTGGTACAACTGTTTTATCGCTGGCGGACAAGGTTAACGCTGGTATAAGACTCCATGCTGGTGCACCATCTGGCCACATGTCTCGTCTTGTCAAACACCATGGTCAAGTCAGTGGATATATGAGAGAGGTGTTCTGGTTCTCGTGGACGTAGTGAGGAGAAGTGAAAGGTGAAACTTTATGTTAGGCTTTGAGAAAGACAATACAGTACACCACTGAATTTTCTAGTATGGTGATGATGTTACGTCAAAAGTTAGAACAGAGGCATGGTCAATGACCACAACCAGAGTTTCTTCTTTAACCCTATCCGTATGTCGTGTTTTACTATCGTATCCATACGGCGTGGGGAACTCTGTGCTACCACTTTCCAAAGTGGAAATTTACTCGTTAAATGGATCCGTACACTTTGCATAGCAGTCTGTCAAAATGATTTTTTGAGAAATACTGAAAGTGTCTTCGCACTAGAAGTATTCTTAAATGTGAAGAATACAACCCCTGGGGTACAAAATGATCCCAGGTGTACGGATAGGTTAAAGTGAGTACCGGGTAGATATTTGAACACCGGACGGTAGTGTTATGCACAGTGGTCAAGGTTTTTCCCCAACCAGGACAGGAGATTCTTAAGGAATAATGCCCATCACAAGATGGTGTGAACTGAGCTCTTGTACTTCGCAAAGTATATTTTAGGCCTGAGCAGGTGGTGTGCTGAGGTAAACAAGAGAGGAGGGATGCGTGCATGCTGAAATTATCGGGCACTATTTGTATTCACACTGTTTTGGAAATGCCAAAAAATAAATTTTTTTGTCAGACAGTCTGTAGCAA